ACGGTGAGCAACCAATTTGAATCGTAATTGATCCAATTTGGCCATCGTTTTCAAGGACGGTGCGTTATCGTGATAATATAGAACGAAGGCGAAAGTATCGCCACTTAAACGACTGTAGCTTGTAAACGAATGAACGAAATATCATGAAACTTCATACATAAACTAGTGACAGATGAACTCTCGAAATGAATCATGTTCATTTTCTAGTGGCGCCACATATTGAAAAATCCCGGGACTTTTCAGGCCATGTAGTACATTTTCAACCATTACGTATGCGTGCGTAACATACTCCAATAGTACCACCTTCTGAGATGAGGCAAATAGAACGTGTTCTTAATCACGGAATATGTTCTAACGCGACGCGAACATCTAGTCGCTATATTGGTTCCGGTGACGCGAACGTATTGGAGCGTGTTGGGTATGTGTAGCGTGAGACGTGAACAAACTTCTTGAAATAACCATCAGAATCCGATTAGGCTAGGGAATTTTTTGAAATGCATCAATGAGTATCCTGGTCGATCGGATTAGAAATCCGACAATTCATCGTAAACATCTTACTGTGAATTCTACATTTTAAGTAATGGATTCATTCGGAGAAATCCTGAGCAGGGCATCTATTATGTAAATATTCGGAATGGATTCCGATCGGAATTATTTCGTTTATGCCTAGATTCTTCTTATATTTATTCCTATATTTCTAGATGAGTTATTGCAGACAATACGGACATTTCGATTGTATCCGAGTCAATCAGAAAAATTTTTAGCACTTCGGCACGTTTTTAAAGCAAAGAATTTGTGTTTTTAATAGAGAATTTGTTTTTATAGCAGAAAATTTGTGTGTTTATAGAACAGAATTTGTGTAACCCTCTATGCCATCAATATGACAGATTTCCTAACCTGATTTTATTTGTCAACTTTAATATCTTTGTTTGCGGGGCAGAGCGACATTTTCTTTCTGGCAAAAATGTCAAATAAGCCTAATTTTACTGATTTTTGAAGTGCTGTAGCTAAACTGTCTGATTATCCCGATCGAAAACGCAACATTCCAATTGGCGAGTTTCCGACTGCGATTCGTTCATGCATTTTTGCTATTATAATTTTTGAGTTTTTCACTTATTTCTCTAGATCAGAATAAATGTAAGCAAAAAAAGAGAAACAGGAGATCAATAACACATTTTACATGCGATTTTATAAGCGAAATACGATTAGACAAAAAATGTTTACTTTGTTATTTTTGATTTGAGTCTTATTGTAGTATATTTATATGCATATAATGAGACCCAATGTCAGAGTTTAACAAATTTTTTTTTATGTTTATTTACATATATTTTATATAAACAATATATTTTATTTAGTTGTCCTTCTTGTTTATTATTATTAATTTATAATAAAATAAAATATTTTATTGTATCAGCCAGCGTTAATAACAGTAATTGCATTTTAATGCGCGATAAATGCAATTTTGTAAGACGCTGACGTAGTTACATACTCGTTACATCATCGTTATAATTTATTTTTTTACTTCAAATAAATTTTTCTAAAGTACCATGAGAGAAGTAATTTTATATAATTTTCAAAAACATGCCACTTTTACACTAAAAAAAGAGATTAACTGCAATGGTAAAGTCCATGGTGGAAGTAACAAGGTGTATTCGTTCCTAGGACGCATTTTCGTCGTTCTGCGCAGTGTTCTGAGAACCGCCATTGCAATCACAGCTGATGGTCATAGTGTTGTTAGTGATATAGATTAGATTTATTTTGATCATTACGATGCCGTCGTGTGCAATACAAAATGCAATACAAAATTGTAAAAACAATTTATGAAATTTACGAAAAACAAAAAAATTAGTTTTTTTACATTTCTGAAGAAAACAGAAATGCTCGAAAGGTGGAAGCTTATGCGCAAAGAAAATGTTAACCCTAAAATCGGTATGTATAATATATTCGTTGGTATGATTATTTGTAGTTAACACACGATATTGTAATTAATAAACTGTAATTGAAATTGATTTATTAAGTGTATATTATTGATTTGTCTAGCTCGTGTCTGTTCGGAACATTTTCATCATTTACAATGTGAAGATCAATCGTGGTTAAAAGATTTAATTGGAGAATCTGGGAATGTACTAGTAAGACTCAGATACAGTTCTGGCAGCCAGAGAATAATCAAATTTCCATGGATAACGATTTATGTATACATATAGTCCATTTTTAACATATAAAATGATTATTATAACATTAAGTTTCAAGCAATAATTTTTAAATATGCCAACAGTACTTGTCTTATATTTTGCCTTCTTTTATGTATTAAATATATTTTCAGAAGCAGATGTTGCACAACCTGTTGCCCATTGCTCATTTATTTTTTTTTTTTATTATGACAATATAAGAAAGGATACAGCCATTAGGGACGGGCCTATTAGGCAGGAACTACATATGAAACTAATGCACTAGCACACACTTAAGGTACATTTCCATTACTGAGAAGAAGGGTAAGGTTCCCCTCATAATCACAGACTGTACGCTTTTAAATTATCTAACTTATTTATTATAATTAAAGACCATAAAATAAAATTTTTCATTTCATCGAATCGCAATATCTCGCAAAAACATAAAAATAAGCTAGATTGACAATTACTAGAGCAAATCCATCAGAGCTAACTTAAAACAGTAGACAGTTATGAGAAATATCTTTTCTTAACTAAATATATAATAAACTATAATAACTTAAATTAAGATAATATAAAATAAAATAGCAAGTATTACATGTGCCGCATTAACTTACAATAGATTAAATCAAATTAATATAAAAAATAAAAAAAACAAGCGAAACTTAGAGCACTAGATAGAACTTATCAATAGAGCAGATAAACATGTTTAAGATATAGATTGTATCCTCATCAATTATAGCCATGAGATATTCGACAGGGAGGGAAGAGATCCCTGACCAGGGCATTTTGCAATACCCGTCTCTGTTCAATAAAAGCACTACATTCCCAAAAGACATGGTTTGGAGTTTCATACCGCATCTAATCACATAGTGGAGAATCCAGCCGAAGCAGAAAAGATTTTCCCTCAGGGATTTGTGGCCCGATCTAATTCTATTAATAATTGCAACTAATATTAACTGTTCTTCTCTTTATTTTAAATTTCCTGAACCAAACATGTTTGGATTCCACCAAATAATTGTTACAATACCGCGAGTAAGCAACTCATCACCCATCCAAACAATTTACTGTACATCTGTCGATTTCATAGATTTGAAAATTCAGATACTGGAATTCCCAATTACATATCTCTGCAATAGCCTCCCTAGCTAGCCTATTCGTTTGTTCGTTGCCCGAAATCCCTATATGGCTAGGAATCCATATGAACTTGATCTCAACTCTGTCTCTAATCAAATGAAGGATGTTATCTTTAATAAAGAGAAATGCAATTTATCAAATTGTGCGCTCACTGCACTAAGGATTGATTTAGAGTTCAAAAAAATAGTTAGCTTGAATCACCCAGTTATATCCTAGTTCCAGAGCCATGAGAATCGCAATTGCTTCAACACAATATGAAGAGACAAAATCCGCACACTTATATCCTTCGGATATAGATCCATCATAAGACACCACAGCAAAATCAGCATATTGCGAGTCTTCTATACATGATTCATCAGTGAAAAGATACACGGACTAATCTCCTCGTTGAATAATCCTAAAAAGTGACATTAGCACTATATTTACGCTTGCCAAAGAATTTTTTATCTTCAAGGTTCACCTCTGGACGAAAAAGCAAAGCATCGAATGATTTTGAGAAGTACGACGGACCAACAAAGTTGAGAAGATAGTGCTTTTTAACATCTATGTCCTTCTGAGCTAACATAATCGGAGCTCGACTAATGCAGTCACATTGCGCGGGAGTTTCCGTCAATTCTCTAAGTTCTTCCAAGGATTCAAGGAGATGACATCTAGAGTTTGTTGCTAGTCTAGACAGGAAATTTCTCCTTAAGTATCAGAATCAAACAAACAAGGGAAACTCCTTCGCTTCGCACAGAATAATTAAACGGAGTACTCTGTCTATACCCCATGACCAATTTAAGAACTCGGTACTGAATTCTGTTAAGTAAAAGCTTATTCGAAAGATCTTGAAGCATGAAACCCTCATATTCTAGTCTAAATCTAATCAAGGCGTGATAAATTAATCTAAGTAACCTCGGATCGGCGCTCCACCAAAGGCGTATTATATTCGTAATGGACAAATACAACGACTTTTGATATAATTAACGTGGATAGACCATTCTAAATTAGATTGTAAATTCATTTCTAAGAACTTCTTATCAGAATTTGCAATAACTTTTCCCTGAATCGAGAAAGATCTTAATTACATTATCCCGCCTAACTTGAGTTTTAAGAGCTTTATTATTCTTGTTAAATACACATAGTTAGTTTTCTCTGCTGACAAAGTAAGACTGAGGTTATCTAATAAGGTAGAAATCTTGTCAGCTGCACTTTCGACTTTATTCAAAGATTCCTCGATCAAGTCCATAGCAGAAAAAATGCACATCGTTTGTGTACTGAATTATCTTGCATTCTTGGGAATTGATCTCCTTCAATTCGGCGACGTAGATAGTAGACGTATAACATAGGGCTCAGTACCCTGTGGCAGCCCTTTGAAAAGCCAAAAAAACTTCTTCTATTTCCTCATATCTACACCACACTTGACGCGCAGATATCAAATTGTAAATAAAATGGCAGAACATGAGGAGGATACTCAGATTCGTTAATCTGTTAACTAATAATCAATGTTATCATATGCTGCTTTGATATTAAGAAAAGCAGCTGCCACTGGAATATCCATTTGAAAGCTTCTAAGAATTTCCACATAGAAGATTGCTAAGTTATGCTCAGATTGCTAAGTTCATGCTCTTGCATGAAAGCTCTCTATGAAACTGCGATACAGGTAACTTATTCTCACTTTCTCGCCATTAATTTAATCTATTATTTAGAATTCTTTCCATTACCTTGCATAGACATGGTACGAGAGATATCGACCGAAACTTTTGGCCATCTGTTTTAGGTATAAATGTGATTAGATACTTCTTTCAACCTGAAAGAAACGGGAAAGATCCACTAGCAAAAATGGAGTTGCAGATATGGTGAAATATACATCTATCCATAGAAGACAACTGCTTGACATAATCGATACCATCTAAATCTAGATTTGGCCTTGAGATTCTTAATTACAACAATTCTTCTTCTATCAGAGGTGAGTCTAGAAACTCATTGTAATTCTCATCTTCAAATGAAGGTGTCTTATTACATATCCTAAGTTAAAAATTGATACATTCAAACTGTACCAGCGAAGTCTGTAGCAAATGTTTAATGTTGGCTTATCATTGCAGCTCCCATTGCTCGTATATAGGAAAACAGATTTTCCACAACATCTTGGTTCAATCAACTTGTTGTTATATATGATATTTCTGAATTGTTTATATTGAACCTTTCTCGTAAATCAGAATAAAAATGCTATAACGATGAATTGCAGATAAGAATTCCTTTTTGAAAAGGAAGAACACTTTGTCTATTATCAATTTTCGTTTTTTTAACTGTTGATGTAACTTCGGTAAGAATTTTGTTCTGTTACAAAATATCAATGCCATTCTGTCTATGGTGATGTCCATATTTGCAGGTACTATTGAAAACATTTCTATTCAAACCAGTCATTGAATAGCTTTATAAATTTAGCCATTGCAGCCCATTCTGGATAATTGTCCATAAATCCACGGGAACCACACCAGTCAATTGCGGCTGCGTTTGTTGCAGAAAAAAGTTGTGTTGCCAGTTTCACATTTTGTGGTCCTTAAATGTACAAATGAATTTCTGACAATTTGTGTGCAATTTTTAAATCGCCGCTATTGATTAATAACCTTTTCAAGGCTATCGATGATATAAAATGGTCGTTTATGTACAATCCGGAATCAAGGAAATGATTGCGAAGTAATTTTAGCAGATGAGGGTCCATGAAAACATATACCTTTATACATTCATCACATGGATGTTCGAAGTACGTCTTATCCTTCTCGTTTGCATCAATACTTAATTTTATCAATAATTTTTTATTCGATGGTCCCAAATCACAGATTATCGTGAATACTGTATAGTTATTATATAATTGAATAAGTATATTATATAATATTTCTTTTGTTATATCCTGATCAAAAGCATAAAAAATGGGCTGTTTCCATTTTTTAAATAAACTATGAACGATAACGACTTGACATCTTTTATGAGGTCGAAGGACTCTTTCCTTTCTTTTATTACATTCCTCCTCCATCTTTTCTCTCTTTAACCACAGACACACCCTGCCTATCTTTTCTCCTAACAAATTACTTAAGCGATAAAATGTTTCAAGTAATTCTCCCTTTTCTTACGCAGAATTATTTAAGCGGTAAAACGCTTCAAGTGGTTCATCTCTTTCTCTATTCAGAATTACTTAAGCGGTAAAACGTTTTAAGTAATTCATCCCTTTCTCTACTCAGAATTACTTAAATGATAAAACGCTTCAAGTAATTCACCTCTTTCTCTACTCAGAATTACTTAAGTGGTAAAAGTAATTTTTCTTTTCCGTATTCATAATTACTAAGCAATAAAACGTCCTAAGTAACTCATGGTTACTCTCCCTAGAACCAAATCATGACTCCTGGAAAATCTATCTCCCTCTCCCTTTCTTTCGGAATTATCTTCTCCTTCTACTTCTTATAATTATCCATCATGAGCACTAACGAGAGAAAATTTTAATAGATAGTCTGGCGGAATAGACTTAGAGCAGGATGCAAGAAGCGGGTCAAGTTCCAGAAACTCAGAAAAGCTAGCATCCCAATTATTACGCGGATACAGACCGGGTAATTTATCTCCTCTCAAACCCGTCGTCAACTTAAAAGGGCTCATTTGTGTCAAAAATATCGAGATCACGATCCCTGTATATAGATCTTACCTTCGACAAGCCAACCAACAATTCCCTTAGCAATATATCTTCAAATCCTTCTTTGGATTTTGAATTCCCTTTTCCCTTCTATTCTCCTACCCTCGATAATTTCCAAAACTCAGAACTTTCTGCTCTCTCTCACTCTCCAGTCTCTCTGGAAGACAACAGATCCTATGATGAGATATTCCAGTCACTTGAATATCTCATCGAATCTATTCTTCTCCCCTTTTTTTAATACACTTATACAGAGATCTATTATATTTGTCTCCAGCACCGATTTTTGTAAAAATAACATCCATCGCACACACAGTACTTACTCTTATATATATTTTTATGTTATTGTAAATTTCATACATTAATATGTGTACATGATTATATAAGTACACGCATACATCTGTGTTTAACTTTAATTAAGAGAAAAATAATAAATAGAAATATAAAAAAATTATATATGAATATTTCTAAATGATTGTTTAAATTTTATTTCGCCACCAACCAAGGGTTGGGGAAATATCCGCAAAAAATGATATTCATCAAAATTATTCCTCTCACATTACTATCGATGAACTTCTAGAAAGAATACAGTCATACAATTCTTATATAAATGTTCGTAATTCCAAAAGAAACAAACTATTTTCTAAAATCTTGGTCTATCAAAATCAATTTCAAAAAATAATGGAAAAATTTATGCGCAAACGCGCGTCGAATCATAAGGAGGGAACTAATTAGGAATCTCGAAACGAAAATATAAAAAATATTTCACGCGAATGCTTAGTAGTGTCAGAAGGAACTGCAAAGAATAGACTCACAGAAATTACAGAATTGTTGCGTTTAAAGCACTTAAGTTCCCAGGAACAAACAAATATAATGAAACTTGTAACTGACAGCCAGGACAGATTTTCCCTGGAAAAAAATTGACAGCAACAAATATATTACAACATTAAATATCTACAACGGATGACCAATCTGTACATACGCGACAATACAGATTCCCGTAAATTCATAAAGAAAAAATAAATAGGCAAGTAGAAGAACTATTAGAAGGAGGCATTGACATAAAACTTTCTCAGTCACTATACAATACATCTATCTGGATTGTGCCAAAAAAGGAAGATTCAAAAGGAAATAAACATTGCAGGATGGTTCTGAACTTCCGAGCCTTGAATGATAAGATTATTGGATGTCTACTCGCTTAAATATTGTCGATATTTTAGATCAGTTAGGCGGAGTGCAATACTTTTCGGTATATGACTTAGTCTTCGGATTCCATCAAATAAAAATGGATCCTGCAAATAGCCATAAAACAGCATTCAACTCCATTCGGTCACTACGAATTTGACCGGATGCCTTTCGGATTAAAAAACGCTCCCGTTATCTTCCAGCGATTAATGGATTTGGTATTAATAGGATTACAAGGAGAAAAGCTATTCGTTTATATGGACAACATTGTCATCTACGTCGCCTCATTAGAAGAACACGAAAAAAAGTATAATTTATTAATAGAATGGTTACGCAAAGTTGATTTAAAATTACAACCCGATAAATGCGAATTCTTGAAAACTGAAGTCACTTACTTGAGGCATATAATTAGTAAAGATGGAGTTAAACTCGACCCAAAGAAATTAAAGGCTGTAGGGCAATTTCCAAGGCCTAAAATACAACAAAAATATCAAACAATTTCTTGGATTAGCCGGATATTACTGAAGATTTATTACCATTTTTTGAAATTAGCCAAATCTCTCACCAATTTATTAAAAAAATGACAAATTTGAATGGACGTTGGATCAAGAAGATTCCTTCCAAGCATTAAAAGAGAAATTGTGCGAAGAACCTGTCCTATAATATCTCGACTTTTCCAAATTTTTTATCTTAATTACTAACGCTTTCGGAATAGCAATTGGAGACATCCTATCACAAGGAGTGATAAATAAAGATCAACCGATAGCATACACTTCGCGAACTCTAACCAAAAATGAAATAAAATACAAAATAAGATACTTATGAGAAAGAAGCATTAGCCATACTGCATTAAACATTTCAGAACTTATACTAATTTTTTATACTAATGAAAAATTTACCCTAATTACAGACAAACCTCCTTCTCTGGTTTAAAAATGCACAGGATGCAAACATACGAATACTCCGCTGGAGATTAAAACTAGCGGCTACCACGTAGTATACAAGATGGGAAAAACTAATGTAAACGCCGATGCATTATCAAGAAATCCTAAATTTCAGAGAAGCAAATTGCAATTAATTAGCCACAATAAACCTTTAAACCCTAATAACCCTGAAGATGCAGAAGCAATTTCTAAAATGCTGGAAGACTTCGATGAAGAAGACGAAGAAAACGAGGATTACACGCTATATCTTTCAGACGATGAGAAGATCTGGATCTACCGATCACTACCGACAAACAGTCTGAAAATTTAGAATCTCCCCGACTATGCAAAAAAACATAAAGGAATCAACAAAATCTCCATTAAAGGGGAAAATGTTAATGCAAGATCTCTCTAACGCTATTAGCAGATAAACCCGAAGTCAAATGAAAAACAATAGTACAACAGGAAAACTTACAAGAGTTACAGCAACAAATGAAAACGGAAGAAGTGAAATAGAAGATAGAAACGATCCAGCAAATAAGAAAAATGATGCCGAGGATGTGAGCAGTGAAGAAGAAAACCCAGAAAAAGAAGAAAAAAACGAAGAGGTGAGAGAAAAAAACGGAAGAAGAGGACGGAAGATCATAGAAGAAGGAAAAACCTATCATCAATTAATTAATCAAGTAATAAATAATAATAATAATATTGTGGATTCATGCGATTTATTATTTTTGCGAAAAGATAACGTATTTCGTAGAACTTTTCGTAGAACTATTTCGTATACTAATGGAAAATCTTTAATGGAAAACTTTGTGAACCTCCACACACAGAAGTTATTTGAAAGAAATGAAATTCCTGTTTAAGAAATTTCGCCTTAGATAAAGCCCATAAAATATAAAAAAAACACTATCATAGCTTTGCCTGTCAGTGAACAACGCGAAGGACCAACCAAATCTCTCACTCAGATCTCTGTAGCAATCAAAGATTTACGAATTGCCGTGGAAAACCGGAACTTAGAAACTCTTGTATTGAAAACAGATTATGTTAATAATGTACCCTGGAACAATATTAAAACCGTATTGCAATTAATCTTTGCCGATTCGCCGATCAAATTAATTATATGCAACGGACTAGTTAAATATCCACTAAAAGACCTTTATTCTGCGATAATTGAAGAAATTGCTTATCTACGAGTGGACACAGAGGTTACAAAAACATATAACAGAATAAAACACAAGTATTATACTATTGGGAAAATTTGAAATCTGGCGTTCAACGCTACATACAGCAATGCCAATTAAAAAAGTTAGTAAACAACCTGATGATTACTAACACATCGGGATCTTCATTCGATAAGGTAGCCATGGATATTGTGGAATCTCTATTTAAAACCGAAAAAAAAAGTGAATATATATTAATATTATCAGCTAACTAAATCTTGTATGGGTATACCCCTGCTGCCTTTATTGACAGATTTATTTGTATATTAGGAGCATCCAAGGCGATTGATAAATCAAAGAAAAAATTTTATTAGCGAGTTAATGAAGAAAATTGCAAAGTTATTTAGGATTCGTAAACTACGTATTACCGCCTTCCTCACCTCAATCAAATGGATCATTGGAAAAATCTTATCATATGTTAGGCGAATTTGAAACAATACGCCAATGATTAAAAACAATGGGATAGATGGATTGGATTAGCAATATTTAGTATAATAGCATCCATGAAGCCACTAAACATCCTTATGAATTAGTATTCGGCAAAATAGCAAGAATGCCATCAAATAAATTATTAGGCTCCGAAGACAAATTGGCAAGTTATGACGAATATCTGATATACTTAGTTACGCAGTTTCACACCATCCAAAGAAATGTTCGTGGAAACGTAATAGCAGCCAAAATTAAATCCAAAAAATATTAAGAAGATTCGTAACTATTTAAATCAGGAGATTATGTTTTCCTATTAAAGGGACCAAAATCGGGAAAAGTCGGGGTTCAATATACAGGACCTAACTTTATGAAGTATTAGAAATATTAAATCGGAATAACATAAAAATTAGAATAAAGAAAAAATAGTCGAATAGTACATCTTAATAGATTGCGAATCTCTCACATAAAATCGGCTCTCAATAATTAATTCAAAATAATAATAACCAAATATTGGGTTGTCCGGAAAGTTCGATTTTTGGTAGGTGGCGTAAGGACAAGTCTGAATATATCAGAACGATTGAAAACAAATGACATGCATATCGTAAAAGATGGTACTTTAGGCATACTTGGAAAAAAATTTGATTGCGATATGTTAATTTTTGTCAGTTTTATACCCCTTTGAATATGGAAAAAAACAAAGTGCATTTTAGGCATTTAATGCTTTTCTTTACCGGAAAGGCAAAAATGCCACACAAGCGGCAAATAAGATAAGCGCTGTTTATGGCGAAGGTACTGTAACTGAAAGAACTGTGCGGAAGTAGTTTGCTAGGTTTAAAGCTGATGATTTCAACCTTGAAGATCAAGAACGCCCGGGTAGGCCCTCCATAGATGAAGATCAGATTAAAATACTGATCGAGAATAATTTATGCTATACGACACGTAAATTAGCAGAAATGTTGAATATGTCAAAATCCATCATTCACGAGCATTTTGTGAAGCTTGGCTACCGTTTTGATGTATGAGTTCCCCACGATTTAACAGAGAAAAATCTGATGGATCGCATTTGTGACTCGCTCTATAAACGCAACGAGGAAACACCATTTTTGAAGCAAGTAGTGATAAAAAATGAATCATTTACAATAATGTTGAGCGAAAAAGATCTTGGAAAGCGGACTGAATCACCTTTAGCCACCTCAAAAGCCAGTCTTCATCCAAAGAAGGCTCTGTGTTTAGTGGGATTGGAAAGGGTATGTATTATGAGCTTTTACCAAACAACGAGACGATAAATTCAGAGAAATATTGTTCCCAATTACACGAATTGAAAACAGCAATTGAACAAAAACATCCAGAAATAGCGAATCGGAAGGACATCGTGTTTCATCAGAACAATGCGCGGCCTCGTGTGTCTTTGATAACTCAAACTAAAAGTTATTGGAGCTCGGTTGGGATGTTCTATCCCATCTACTATATTCACTA